CCAAAAGACTCCACCCCCAAATTACTAGAACTCATACAGCAATTCAGTAATGTGGCAGGATACAAAATCAATGCACAGAAATCAGTTGCTTTCTTATACACTAACAATGCAACTGTAGAAAGAGTAAATTAGAGAAACGATCCCATTTACAATAGCACCAAAAACCATAAAATACCTCGGAATAAACCTAACCAAAGAGGTAAAGGATCTATACTCTAGGAACTACAGAACGCTCATGAAAGTAATTGAAGAAGACACAAAAAGATGGAAAAACTTCCATGCTCATGGATTGGAAGAATAAATATTATTAAAATGTCTATGCTACCCAGAGCAATCTATACCTTCAATGCCATCCCGATCAAAATTCCAATGACATTTTTCAAAGTGCTGGAACAAACAATCCTAAAATTTGTATGGAATCAGGAAAGACCCCGAATCGCCAAGGAAATGTTGAAAAAGAAAAACAAAGCTGGGGGCATCATAATGCCTGATTATAAGAAATACAGGCAAAAAGACACTGTAGGAATACAATTTATAAAATTCAGAATATGGGAAACTCTGTAGAGCAGATAATCATTATTCTTAAACAAATAAACTGCAAGAAAAAATTATAGGGGAACCTATAGATCTAAAAACTTCAAATGTAATGTGAAAACTTTGTTTAGGACTGATTTAAGCAAATCAACTGTAAAATATATAAAACAAAATTTGAGACAATTCTATTTGACATTGAATGAGTCTTCCATGATATTACAGAATTATTATTAAAATTTTAATTGTACTAATGATATTATAGTTATGTTCTTTTTAAGAGACATTTTACATTTTAGATATATATTCATAATTCCGAAAAGCTTACCCTTAAATATTTATCAGTAAAATAATATGGTGTCCGGTATTTACTTCACAAGAATCCAAAGGACTGGGATGACTATATATTTGTAATTGTTTATGCTAGATGATTAATATATGAGTGTCCCTTATACTAATCTATTTAATATATGCTTGCATACAAAACTTAGTACTTCTGATCTCCTGCCTGATCCTTGAAATCAATAGAGACTAAAATAACTACCCACAGAAAGAAGCATAGGACAAAGTTTTAAAAAGCAGTAATAATGGGGTGCCTGGCAGGCTCAGTCAGAAGAGCATGCAACTCTTGATCTTGGGGTAGTGAGTTCAAGCCCCACACTGGGTGTAGAGATTACTAAAAAATAAATAAACAAACAACCTTAAAAAATTAAAATAAATTAAAAATAAAAAAGCAGTAATGAAAGCACAATGCCGGCAAGTATACATAACTTCACTGTGAGAAGAAAAAGCTTCCAGAGTCTCAAATTCAGTCAGGAAGCAATGGTCAGCCTTAGCTGACTCAACTTGCTGATTGCCAAGGTGGCAGTTTGGTAAGGAAAAAAAGCCCTGGTCTAAGAGACTACCAACACCTAGCTTTGTAATCTCGGACTCACGTAACTTTAGATTTTGGAATTTGAAAGCACAGGAAGTGAAATAACAGCACGAATAATAATTGTGTTGTGAGTACTAACTCTTAAGTTCTAAACTTTATAAGAGCTTTGAATGCATTATCCTCTTTTAACCGCATAACCCAACGAGGTGTTGTGGGCACTTGATATATACTTTTTAAAGGACGATTAAATGAAGGAGGCATCAATACATGGTACCATTTTGCACATGACGAGTTTAGGTTTAGAGGTGCACAAATGTTTTAGAGTCACGCACTGTAGTTGGCCCAGCCAATATTGCAGGTGAAAGAATGCTTTGAACATAACACTGCATCGGACCATAAAACAGAGGTTAGCAGACTGGGTGTGAAATACTGGAAACTTAAAAACCGCTTCCACAGACCAACAGTTTTCCGCGGCCTTACCACACTTCACACGTCTCGGTATGACCGGGAAGGAAAACCAGTCTTTCACTCACCGCGAAGATGCTGGACCTCACATCCTGGACCTCCCGCCAAGGTTCCCGAACGCCTTCACCTCCCCGCGCCCCCCAAGCCCCGCCCCTTCACGGATCGCGCACAATTTATGACAGTCAAACTACATTTCCCATAGAACCGTTCGAGGACAGCGAACCTCCGCCGGAAGTCAGGAAGACTGAATCCGGCGCCGGGAAGAGTGAGAGTGGGGTTTCCGGGTCTTGCGTCTATATCCTGCTTTTCTCTACTCTGGTCGCCTTTGGCTTAGTAACAGCAACGACTGGTTAGTCGGCCCCGTGCCCTCCCTGGGTTGGGTGACCAGTTCTCAGTGTTTTTGATCTCAGCGCTGTTGGCCTGGCCATGCTGGGTTGTTTGGCTCAGCCTCCGGATGCGGTGAGGGTGCAGGGGCGGGAGCTGTGGGCTGGTAGCCCTGGCTCCCGGGAGAGGGTAGGGGGCACAGCCCATGGGCTGCTAGTGGCGTTTAGAGCCCAGTCCTTGAGGTGGGGAAAACGAAGGGCTACTTCAGCGTTTAAGATTCACGTTTAAAAGAAGGAGTCTCACAGTAGTGACAAAGTAAACTCTCAAGGCATTTAAATGTTTGGAGAGACCTTGCGTAGGTGGCGCTTGACTTGTTAAATGACCACCTCGAATCCCGAAGGACATGGAATTCGTTCAATAATGGTCAGCGACTTCACTGACAGCCGTATTTGAACTCTGCCCTGTTTCTTGAACCATGTGACCTTGAGCAAGTCATGGGCCCCAGTACACATCGGTAAAAGTGGATGTGGTTTGGTTAAAGGACCCCTCAGAATGCTCTCTGTTCCTTTTGGAAAGCAGGGGCAGCATTTTGCTAAGTGAATCACCTCATCCTGCCTTCGGATCCTTACCTTGTGGAGAACCTGTCAATGAGAAATGAAAAAGAAAATCCAGCAGTAGAGCTGGATTGCAGATTTTGTGTGATTCTCTGTAATGAGAAATGGTTGTTTCTAGATGGCTATGCTGCCAAAAAAAAAGCTAAGGGAGAAAGTACACATTTTTCACTGCCTTTCTCCTGAGAATACTGTATGCATAAGAATTGCACTGGAGGTAGCGAACAGTACTTTATTTTTGGAGGACAGTTTTGCACTTTGTCCTGTGGAGTGGCCTGTGGGGAGGGTGAAGAAATGACTATGACCTCAGAACATGAGACAGTAAAATACTGCTTAAAGTAAACCTACCTGAAGAACCAGTGTGATATTTTGTGGAAAATCAATTCAAGGGAAAGGCAACTTGGAAGGGATACTATACATGAGTCAGTATACAGCAATGATTCAAAATCAAGTCCTGAAAAGTTGTAGTTTTGTAATTGATAATATTTGTAAAGCATTTAGAAATCTCAATATGAACAGAACAGTGAAGGAAATTCTACAGTAAAGAAATAGTTTTCTAATACAGAAGTCACTCCCCCTAATTTAAATTATAAACATTTTCACCATTCCTGTGAGTAGTTTTTTTTAAGCCTTTTATTTTAATCCCAGTATAATGAACAGTGTTATATTATTTCAGGTGTACAATATTGTAATTCAATTCTATACACTATTGAGTGCTCATCCTGAGTATACTGTTAAATCCCCATCACCTATTTCACCCATTCCCCTACCCACCTCCCCTTTTGTGTATAGTCAAATTTGACCTTTTTATAAGTAGCAGAAAGATAAAATCAGGAAAGGTGAACAATTTTTTCAGCCCATTTTTCCCTAAATTTTGTTCATACTCCCTCTACTATATAATTGATCAGCCAAATTGCAGTGTGAGAATACTAAAGATAAGAGCAGTCAAAATGTGTGGATTATAACCTTTCTAAATAGCCTAAATATCTTATTGCTTAGAATAATAGAAACCTAGTTAGAATCCCAAATCAATTCTTAAATAGCATTTCACTAAACAAAAATTCATGCCTTAAAAAAAAATACTTTGTTCTCATAGACAACTTAAGCATAAACCATTTCCACAAAGAATAGATCAGTTTGTGCCCTACCACTTTCAATCCACGTTGAGAAACATTTATGAAGAGGTATGAAACATATTTTCTATATTTTTTCCTTACTGAAACAAGCGAGTAACAAAGCAGACAAAGTTAATGGTTTAAAAAGCTTCTTGGATTCAAATTTTGACAAAGTGACCAAATGAACAGTGTTCAATAATAGATCCAAAATATATGGTCATCTGATTTATGACAAAGATGATAACTGCAGTGCAATGGAACAAATGGTAATTTCAAGAATGGTGCCAAGTCATATGGATTATCCACTGGGATAAAAATGTATCTTGCCCCTACTTCACACTATGAACAAAAATCAATCCCAGATGGATTGTAGAATTAATTGTGCATGGGAAAGCAATAAATTGCTTTCATGTGAAAACACAAGTTTTGGAAGGCAGCTATGCTCACCACTATACCACCAATGCAGATTTAACACAAGTTTTGAATAGTCAGCTGTAAGGATCATAATTTTCCTAAGGGCAGGCACCTGTCTCTGGTACCATAGAATCTAAGAGAATACTAGTCATCTGCTAAAAAACCTCTGACTTCTGCTTTAACTCCCCTCATTTCCCTGATCTATAGTGAAATCCCTCTAGTCTACTTCAGATACCTCCTCTTTGTAATGTTTGTTACCTGACACCCATTCTCAAGGATATGCCCCCCCATCTTTATTACCAAAGCTCTTTATACATTATGTTATGCATCCCATGGTGAATTATATTTAAAATTTAAATTATGTTTAAGACAATTTTTAAAGGTATGCTGTGATGACAGTTGAGTACTAATTACCTTTTGAAGAGTATATAGCTTTAAAAACTATAACTATCCTGGGGCGCCTGGGTGGCTCAGTTGGTTAAGCGACTGCCTTCGGCTCAGGTCATGATCCTGGAGTCCCGGGATTGAGTCCCGCATCGGGCTCCCTGCTCGGCAGGGAGCCTGCTTCTCCCT